CTCAAGCTTTGTGTTTGACTTGCCATTTTAAATGATTATGTTATTGTATGTTATTTTTGTTCAACATTTATTTTAACTTGATTTATAAATATAGTGTACAAAGAAGTCTTTCAAAACCTTTAATTTCGTTTTTTGTTTTCACTATATGTTCCTCAATATTAGTATATACGGAGTAATACTTTAATGTTTATATTGAATACAATTTCGTTGTGTTGTCTTTATATACACTATAAATTTATTTTTTATTTTCTTTCATTGACTCAAAATAGTGTCCGTGCAACGCACGGGTTAGAAAACTAGTATATACTATATGAAGCAATTTATATCAAAACAAGGCATCAAGCTTGTTTTAGTCATACATAATTATGTATCCTGTGCTTCTTTGGTGGACTTTGGATGTATATCATTTGTGTGGATTTTCGCACATAAAAATCTTTTTTTATATTTTTATTTTTAAAAAAACAAATACTTATTTAAGTATTAAAAACATTTGTTTTACTCATATGTAGGTCCATGATGGACCTAATGCATCAATAGAATTTGCCTTGATACACCCTAGCACTCCAATATTACTTCTTTCCTTTTATAAAAAGATTATATCTTTGATATGATACGAATACCGAAAAAATTGAAATTGTATAGTTAAAAGTTTTGCAGAGGAGAGAAAATTATAAAGGCCTCAAAATATTTTTTAAAAAATGGAAAGTGACTTTTTTAGGCGAACGAAAACAAAAAAGGGTATTATTATTATTACGGAGTACGTACTGTTATTATTATTATTATTATTATTATTATTTATTATTTATTATTATTATTATTATTATTATTATTATTATTATTATTAATTTCCATCCATTTTACTTTATCGTTTTTATGGAATTTTTCTTATCTTTAAACACTGAGAGTTTTATTTGTTACGAGTATTTTAAACTTAATATTCCGGTTATTTATACTATAGGCTTCACTCTTCATAGAAATTTAACACACTAGACGCAAATTTCAGTAATATGGTAAAGATTACTCCTCATTATTGCATCAAGAAATAAAAAAAACTAATTTTAAATTTAATGCTCTAATTAAAATTAAGGCGAAATAAACAAGATTTTGATCAATAGAGAAACACTTGATTCACAAGCAAAATTGTCACAAACTTCACAAACTTTTTTTTGCACAGAAAACATAACTAAACTTCATTATCTTACTATTTGTGAACTTCAATAAAAAAATTAAATAATCTAAAATAATTTTAATATAAGAATTTAAATCATAAATAATAAATTTAAGAAATTTGTGATCATTTTTTTAATGAACCTAGCATTGCTCTCCTCAATAACTTCCTGTTTGGATCCGGTAAATGTTACTTTAAAGTCCAATTTATTGGCCCTCATTAGCCCTGGCCCAACGAAATAGCGCGACCACCTGACTTCTTAAAATTTAAGTCTCGGCACAGCAAAAGTTTCTCTATGATCTTTTTTCTTGATTTACAAAATCTAAAAAATGCAAATAAAAAAACTATGTACTCCCTAGTCGTAATTTAAATAATTTTTTATTATTCAGATAGTCAAATTCTAATTACATAGTCTTGTGTGATGGTTTACTATGACACAAAATGTCAGTATAATTTCTTTTGATTAAAATGATACTCTGTATTAGTCTGAACCATTAAATGCTACTCCGTAATACTCCCTCCGTCCTATAATGATTTTCCCAGAGTACTATTCCAACTTCACGGGAATTTATATTTATTTGTGTTTTTTCATGGCCTATATGATAAAATAAAATATTCTTGTCACCACTCGTTTTGTTGAACTTTTGGTGTAGTTTTTAAATATGTATGTTTTATTTTTTATTTCTATACCAATATTTAAATAAAATAGATTCAAAAAACTTGAGATTTTTCTTCGTTTTGCGAACCGGAAAGATCATTATAAGACGGAGGGAGTACTTACCTTTAAGGTACAATTTAAGATACACTTTTACTCAAGTCCGTACCATGGAAACCATGAGGGTGATGATCTTGTCTAGTGGCAAATATTCTATCTTTGCTTTTTGTTTTTTTTTATTACTCACCAAATGTTTTTACTCACACACAAATGTCACCTCTGCCCCAACTTTTCTTGCAAAAAGAAATAAAACATCATTATAACCTACAACTGGATAAAAACGAGATGATAAAAGCCTATAACCATACCTTTTTTAATTCTTCCTCTTTGAATAACCATAGTGTTTTTTTACTCTATACTTTCGAGTTAGATTCTTGACAATTGTCACTACAAAAAAATGAGTTTTATTGGCATATAATTCGTCACAATTACGAGGTGGGTTCTAGAATTTGTCACAAATACCTCGTTACAAAAAGTATTTAGTAGCAAAATTCATTAAAGTCTAATATACTTTTTTATATTAAGTCATTATCTAACCAGTTCTGAATAGACTTCAAGAATGTGGTTCATCTTTTTAGCCTATATGAGTTATACGGAGTATTCCTTCTACTCTCACTGATTTTGTTTTCATTCATATTGTTCCATATCTATGAATTGTATTCCCTCCGTCTCTAAATAAATTTCTTCTTTCGTTTTTTCTTTGTCCCCAAATAAACTTCTCTTTTTCCTTAAAAAACTACTTTTACCCCTTACTTTTTCATACCCTACCTATCACATCATACCTTTTTACTAATAATCTACATATCACATCTTACTTTTACACATCACATCAAGGGTATTTTTGAAAAAGTCAACACCAAAATATCCCTTCCTTAAATCCTCAAAAAGTCAAAAACGGAAGTTTATTTAGGAGCGGAGGGAGTATAAAGTATTTTGGAAAAAGATTGAAAATTAAAATTGTGATCCTATCCTAGTTTTATTTACGGAACACTTTTTAAAGAGACATGAAAGTGTACGGTAAAACTTTTCCAACTATACGTTTGTTTGTCCCCGTCTTCTAGTTACTTTTGCAAGGGTACGGTAAAGCCTTTTTTCCTGGTTTAATTTATGCCATATTTTACCATGTACTCCCTCCGTCCCTGAGTATTTGTCCACTTTCATTTTTGCACAGCATCTAATGTACTTCTTTAATCCATTTTATCTTGTAATTTGTATATTAAAAAAATATAAAAATTATATATTAATAATCTATATGTTAAGACGAATCAAACAAGATCACACATGACTATTTTTAGGCTTACACATTGAGAGAATTTGATGAGTCAATGTGCTTAGATGAACAATTCCAAAAGTCAAAAGTGGACAAACACTCAGGAATGGACCAAGTAGTTACTTAATGCCATATTTTACCATTTATATAAGTATGTTTTAGTCCTATTTAATGCAAATTTCACTTAAATTAAATGAATTAAAAAGTTTAAAACATTTACTTTAATTTGAAAAATGCGACAAATAAGTTGGGACGAAATGTGTAAATGAGATGTCATAGGAGAAAATTTGTATAAATAAATACTAAATTATAATTTGGTCGATATAATACTAAAAACGAAATTTGGTTTGAACTTAGTTTATACTCTATTCTTTCTCAACAAAAAATTATACTCTATTCATGATTTCATGTTAATAAACAAATGGGTCTAATTCAAAAAAAAAAAAAACCAAACATATATAATGCGTAAATAAGAACAAACTAGTCTTGTTAGATACTCCCTCCGGCCTTAAAAAATTAACACAGTTTGATTTTTTTGTTAAATTATGTCATTCTTTAACCATAAATCAAAAATAGTTTAAAATAATTAAATATTATAAAAATTTGATAATTCAAAATAACAATTTTAAATAAAATCAATTTTACTAAATTTACATTATAACTAAATATACCTTTTTTTATAACTTGCGGTCAAAAGGTGTTACGCCTCAACTAAAAAAATTAAATTATGACAATCTTTTAAGAATGGAAGAGTAAGTTTTGTAGAAGGCCAAACTAAATGTTGAAATTTTCTAATGGACACTAAAAAAATTAATTTATTTCGAATGGATACTTAAAAAGATAGAGATTATAAAGAGTGGTGTTAAAGAAGGAAAAGATCCGATAGGTTGATTCACGTGGGTGAATCACAATCTCAATTATACAGGCAACTGTAACTCTCCTATACACAACGGCCACCTCTTTGCCAACTCAATTACCAACACCACACATTTGTTCAAGTTTTGATTTCTAAGAACTGTGCTGGTACATAATTATGCTAAGCATATGGCCTGTGCATGTATCAGGTGGATGTTTGATTCTTTGCAAACTAATTACAATCAAAGTTTAATTTACTTTCTCTCAATAATTGCCCATCCGAATCTGAGAGAGTGCTCGGGCTAGAGTAAAAATGAAAGATTCATAGCACTATTGTCAAAATAATGGACATTTTTTTAAAAAAGGGCTATATCACCGCATCAAATTCCATCATGTACGGATCAAGATAGCTACTTGGCGGAAATCCAATTGAACTAATCTCAGAGGGGAGTGCTTCTTGGCTGCACATCAATTTTATGAATCTTCAATTTTATGAATCTTTTTACATGAAAATTCTGTTTTCTTATCCTTTTATTTTAAAAAATAATTTTTTTTAAATAGTAAAAAAATATTTATTTTACTCATATATAAATTTATGATGAACCTTAGATCCATCATAGAATTTGCCGGTGGAAAGAAAGAGATATGAGATATGAATCTACTATTCTTGTTATTTACAAAAAATATTATACTTAGCATGTTCATATTTTTTCACAATTAATTAGATTTGTTAGGATCAAATCAAAAACAATTTTAGGCTTTAAATAAAACTACATTCAAATCATATCAAAATTTATTTTTTATCAACACTAAAATACTTTCACCCTACAAACGAATTCAACCATTTAATAATGTTATTTAGGCTGTGTAAAAATTAAGGTTGACTAATATATTAATCGAGAGATTTGTGAGAGTTGAAAGGTATCAGAAGTAAAAATGCACACCACAAGAGACATAATGACGACATTAAAACGTCGGAATGGTCAAAAATTGAAAATTACACTTTTTTGTTCCAAATTACAGTTCAATTCATGAATTTACAAATGCCTCTCTGATCTGATTTACTGATTTCTTGCCGTCGAGTCCGACTTTTAAAATGCCCGGACTCCACTCCGATTCCAACTCGGGACGACTCGGTTGCCATCTCCGTCACAATCCCGAGATTGCCAAATGAATAATTGCCCAACATTTACCATTTACCGCTGGGTAATTAAAGAAAAGAAAAAAAATTATTAACCCCCTTCCCAACCGGGTCAAACTCGGACGAGTCAAATCAGATCACCGCCGGTGCTTTGGAAGTACATCTCTTATTCTCATTCACAAGGGGCCGTTTGGTTTCCAAAAATCTGAAATTACCAAACTTTTTCCCCTGTCAGATCAGATGTCCGGTCGAGCCGGAACATCGGCGGGGCCCGTTTTCCCCCGCCGGAGGCCCATCAGCAGACCGATTTAGCAGCGGAGACGCCGTGGAGCAGCGGTCGGGAGTCGCACCAGAAATCGAGATTCGCCCGGATCCCGACATGGCACTGCTTCTGGAAATCCTCGAGATTCGAGAACCGGGCGCCGCCGTTCTTGCTTTCGGATTCGGATCGGGTCAGGAACCGGAGGATCTCCTCGAAGACCGTCTCGTCGCAGGGAATGGCCAGCGGGCCGGAGTTGGTGAACCCGTACTCCTCCTCCGCCTGAGAAAGCAGCTTCCGGAAGACGGGGTGGTTCAGGTACGTGGCGCGGACGACGAACCGCTTGAAGTTCGTCCCAACGGCGATCGCGACGTGGCCGGCGGGAACGTCGGGAGGGACGCAGCCGCGGGCAGTCATTGCCGCCGCCTTGCGCCACCACCGAAGCATCTGGCGGAGCCTCACAATGTGGCGGATTCTGCTGCACCCAGACATTGCTCCGGTGGAAAGATCGACGGATATAATTTCTCCGGCGGTGTTTGGCTTTAAAAGGGGGTGGGAGTCGATTTGATGCGTTGGTGAGTGAGCAAAAGGTGAGAGGGGTTTAGCTGGTGAGCGAGCTGTTGGTATATAAAAGTGCTTGGACGGGAAAAGGACCTTGGTTTTGGAGGCAATTACCAGTATGCCATCACGGTCTTTTACTTTTTTTCTCTCTTTCTCTTTTGGTTCCCACCGGTTTTTTTTGGCTTTGCCCAAACTAATCCAGTCGACCCGAATAACGAATCGCACACTTGGTTTCTTTTTCTTTCAAATGCCTTTGTTTTCCTTTTCTCTAAAATTTCTGGTCCGTGTTAGTATGATATTTAAATTTCTCATTTTATTTTTAATTTAATTTATTTGATTGTAGATGTAAAATTAAAAACTTAAAATTATAAACTACCTCTATATTTAAATATTTATCCATTTTTAACTTTTTTCACTCAAAATTGCTAAACTTTGACCTTAAATAAAATAAAAATAATATTAGATATTAATTCAAAAATAATATTATTAGATTTATTATATCAAATATTTTAAAATTATTATTTTATCTAATTAATATAAAATATATATTTTATTTAATTATAGGTCAAAACATTGAAAACAGTTGACTGAAAAAAGTCAAAACTAGACAAATACTCAAAGACAGAAGTAATATTTAAAATCTACGTCAAAAAATTCACAGAACTAAATGCGACATGATTATTTTATTTTTTTAAATGAGTAATAAAATAAGGAAACAAAGTACTCCCTCCGTCCCTGAGTGTTTGTCCACTTTTATTTTTGCACACCATCCAATCCACTTCTTTAATCCATTTTATCTTGTAATTTGTATATTAAAAAATTATAAAAATTATATATTAATAATCTATATGTTAAGACGAATCAAACAAGATCACACATGACTATTTTTAGGCTTACACATTGAGAGAATTTGATGAGTCAAAGTGCTTAGATGAACAGTTCCAAAAGTAAAAAGTGGACAAACACTCAGGGACGGACCAAGTATATAAAATTTGACACCCGTAAACAATGTAAAGAAAGATTCAAGTGGGAATGAGGAGATATATACAAACACCGAAAAAAGTGCTTAATTTTTTTTTATAACAAAAATAGGTGTTTGTATTATCATTGATACATTGTTATGGCGGATACTATACCGCGAGCTTCTCTTTGAGCATCCTCGCGCATAGTTCATACCATACTCTGGCCTAAACGAAGTGATGATGAGCACTGGAAAGCTGCACTTAAGGCCAAGTGTTTCCTAAGAAGAAGCTCAAGACAAGGTATTTTGCTATCTTCTAATATACTCCTTCCGTTCCAAATTATTTGCCACATTTGTATTTCCAAGTCAAAATATCAAGTTTTTTCAATTCATTTTATTTACATATTGGTATAGAAATAAAAAATAAAATTTACATATAAAAAAACTACATGAAAAGTTATTCGAAATAAGAGATGTCAAGAATATTTTATTTTATCAAATAACCAATGAAAACGTCGAAATAAACAAAAGTTCCCGCAACTGCTGAAAAAGCAAATGTGGTGAATATTTAGGGACGGAAGAAGTAAAAATGATTTGCATTTGACAAGATGGTGCGACTCGGGTTGGGCAGCTTGTCCTTTGAGTAGGATGTCTTTTATTTGTTGGTATGTAAAATAAACTTGGAGATTCTCCGGTATCTTGAAAAATGAAGAAACCAACAACAATGGTGGCCAGATTCTATGTTGAAGCCGAATAGTGAGCTATAGTGGTCATTGTTACCTTAGCTTTGAGGTGAAATGGTTTAGGGTCTTATATGTTCTCTCTACATACCCATGCATTCATATCTTACGAGTATACGTTGTGATAATAGTACTTGTGCACTTCACGTCGTGAGAAGTCTTGTTTCTCACGAGCGAGAGGACAAAATATATTGAAATCAACTCTCAGTTTTTCTGTGATTAACTCTTGAGACGCGTTATTCAATAACACGCAACATGTGTCATCAACTTCTCATGCGCTAGTTGATATGCATATCAAAGCTTTGGGAAAGACTCGCCTAGAACTTCTTAATCTAGGTGGAGCTCAGAATTTCTCTATTACATGCTCCAACTTGTTTGAGTTGTGAGAAAAATAAGAAAATAATTGATAGATCGAATATAAAGACTTGGGCAAACAACTAAAAGGTTGACGTTTTGGTTCAGTTGATTCATTGAATAGTATCAAAAACTTGTTGACCAATATGTCAAGAGTTTGATCCTCACCGTCAATAATTTCTTTTTTTTTCTTTTTTAAAGATATTGACGTTTCTGGTACAAGACTTGAAGCGCCCACACGTTTGAGTTTTTAGTTGAGTTGGTTCTTTGACAAGTTGACAATAATATTTACCCCCTTCCTCTCAAGATGTTTTTACATTATTCAAACGACATGCAAAGTTCTAATACTTCTACACTATTTTAATAGTTATATAAATAAAAAATACAAATACACATTTAGAAGCTACATCAAAGTTCTATAAAATAAGATAGATGATAAAAATATTTTAGTTTATTAAATTATCAATTAAAATATGTAAGTAAACAAAAGTAATGGAGATACTATAATTTTTGTACACCGTTAAAAGGGGAGTTCGTGGTTAAATTATTACTCCCTCTGTCCGGAAATGTTCTTCCCATTTGATTTTTTACGGTCTCCAAGATTACACTTTGACCACTAATAATATCTTTATTTATACATGGATATATTTTATTAAAATTTGATATTTGAAAACTATATTTCAAAATGAGCATATTCATATTAAAGTTATATCGTAATACAATGTATTTTTTCTATATATAATAGTCAAAATTTACAAACTTTAACCCAGAAAAGTCAAATGGGAAAAATGTTTCCGGCCAGACGAAGGGAGTATATTCTTGTATGCTGATTTTCCATGGTAACAACTTCCGGACATATGAGGAGCGGGGGGCATTAGTTGTAGAATTTTTTGTCTTAAACTAGAAACCAATACTTCACATATATTCAGATGTACAATGCTATACTCGAATTTCGGGGTACATTACAACAAATTTCAAATTCAGATGTATCAAATTCTATAATCTCTATGGGTATCATATTTCCTATGTTGTGAAATATATAGCAGAAGCTGTTTCACATTTAAAAAACACAAATAAGTATACGTTCAATGTTTTATGTGAAATTTGCACTAAATAAGACTAAAACATAATGACTTTCCTAATATAGGACTTAAACTTTTTTATTCCCTAAATATGACTTAATAATGACTTAGTGGAAGAAATAATGTCTACTAATGATGGACATTTAGTTGAATAATGACTACTTGATAATGACCAAAGGTCCTACATTGGAAAATAAAAAGATATGGTCCTATATTGGGAAAGTCATTATGTTTTAGTCCTATTTAGGTAAATTTCTCATGTTTTATCAATGGCGGCGTACTCTCTCGTCCTTAAATAAAATTTCATAATTCATTAAGCGACCACGTTTAATTTATTTAACAAAGTAATAAAACTGCGCAATTTAGTTTTGTGCATAAGAAAAAAAATTGTGTTTTACACAATTCCATTCACAAAAAATTTAATTAAAGTAATTGACAGCTGAAATGTAAAAAATGAAAACTTTTTTGGAGACACAAAATATCATATACATATCTGCTAGTACATCAGTAGTTCTCAACTTCTCACATACATTTACAAATGGTGCATATTTGATTTTTCAAGTGCATTGAAGGCAAGTTCTTATCTTGCAATATAATTATGAGTTGATTCTAATTAAGCATGCAATATAATACGGAGTACATGCCATGGTACATTAATTGTCTAAAATACCCCTTGTATACATTAATGATTGAGTTTTTAATCTATTTCCTCCATCCACAAAAAAGTTTCACATTTCTTTTATTATCTGTTCCAAAAAGAGTTGTATATTTTTTACTTTTAGAAGAGTTTTTATGACTGATTTATTTTTTTATTTGTTTCTACTCCACCACTTTCAATCACACTATTTTACTTTTCTAATTTTTGTGTCAAGTCAAAACGATAGGAACTAATGAAGCACTTTTGAAAGTTCATGACAAATCACACTTTGTAAAAAGTTAGGAAAGAAATGATGTGAGAAACTTGTTTGTAAATACAAGTCTTCTACACTTTACAATAACTTTTGTTTGTTTACGCGATTTCATTAAGTATTTGATAAAATAAAATATTCTTGTCACCTCTTGTTTTGTAGAACTTTTGACGTAGTTTTTTAATACTCCGTATGTAATTTTTATATTTTATTGATATACCAATTTGTAAATAAAATGATTTCAAAAAGTAAAAAAATTTACTCTGTAACCCGCAATTTGTAATCAAATTGGGGACGGAAGGAGTATGTTATATGTGTATCAGTGTATATATATGTATGGGTTGGGAGTGATCTATTTTAAACCCAGCATACCATTTCTCTTCCTTTATAAATTGTTTAGCTGCTTCAAGATAAGGGGCCGGCGCGGCCGGATCTGGTTCAGTACGTCCTCGTCGTGGGTGCTTTTTTGAACCACATCCACTTCCATTTATATTCATCACCATGAGTGGAAATTGACACTAAATAGTGCTAAAATATATACCGGAGTACTCCCTTTGTCCATAAAGATTGTGACGGTTTGAATAAAGTGGTAAAATAATTAGTAATAATTTTGTGTTGATTTTCTAAAATATGCTTGATGTGATGAGTAAAAGCAAGATGTGATGTGTAGATTATTAGGAAAAAGTTATGATGTGATAGGTAGGATATGAAAAAGTAATTAAGAGGTAAAAGTGGGTTTTTAATAGAAATGAAAACGACTTTAAGGGAAGCAATTTTTTTAAAACGGGACTGATTTATGATACGGATGGAGTAAAAGCTACCGTTACATAATCTGTTAGGCCCCGTTTGGTACATGGAATTCAAACCATGGAATTGGAATTGAAGATTTCAATTCTAATTCTGTAGTTTGGTAGCACAAAAATTATGTAGATTTTGAATTGATGGTGCAAAAAATGAATTGAAATGACAGAATTCAATTCTATTGAATTGAATCCTATGGAATTTCAATTCCAATTCAATTCGAATTCCGTCAATTCTGTATACCAAACGGACCCTTAATAACACTGACGCTAATTTCTAACGGTATTGTCAAATGGGGCCTTGATCTGATCTAATTCTAATAAAAATAATTGATATGTAATAAAATAAGTGGAAGAAAATACGAACTTTAACATTCATGTTCAAATTTTTACAAATCACAGAATATATTGTGATCAATTTTGATCCACCTGGTATTGAGGCAAGAAAAAACAACTAAAAAAGAATTAAGAAATCTTAGTTTGGTTACGGAAAAAAAATACGGAGTAAATAAAAGTTGAAGGAAAATACGCAATCCAGGTTTTTATTTGGTTACAGCTAGCCACATGGCTCCCCGCAAAAAAAACTAAGAAAAAAACAGAAAATTTTGAGAAATACGGAGTACTCCCAAAACAAGGTTTCAAAAATAATTTGACACAATTATTATTAAAAATAAAAGGGTGCAACAACATATTTGAACTTTTGTTAAAGTTGATTTTACCCTTTGCATTGCTATGTCATCAAAGTCTTTTTAATAAGTCATGAGTTTGAAACTGAATCTTGCAGGGTAGTTAATCATGTACGGAGGATTTTACTCTTTGTTTGATTTTGATTTTTTGTTGTTAATCATTTTTACTCGTAGAAGTTAGAACTATAATAAAATAAAAAATTTATAGTACGGAGTATACTCATGAGGTAAAATAATATTTTGAAAATGTTTTATAAAATAAATCTAATAAAATTATTTTTGTATCAATTTAATTTAGTTAGTGATCAAATTTATTAACTATTGACCGATAATTAAAAAAAATAGTTACTACATTCGTCTCAAAGTATTCGTCCAGTTTGACTTTTTTGAGTCAAAGTGGGAGCCTTAATTTAAGTAAAAGTGATTTCAAAAATTCAACTTGTTTAGAACTTTCAAAAATTTATTCCATCTAATTAATATGC